TGATGAATTTTGTTATCCCTAACTGAAATTACATGAAAGATATAATATTCTGAATTAAGATCATTTTTATGCTCTCTCTGTTAGTTGTGATAGTTTGTTTTCTATATATATATATATTTTTTTGCTGATTGTCAAATTCTTATGCACAAAAATAATTGATAAGAGTGTGAAGTGATATATACTAGATTCTTTATTCATGATGAATTTGTTATCCCTAACTGATCTTACATGCAAGACAAAATATTCTGAAGTTAGATCATTTTTATGCTTAGTTGGTGATTGTGATTATAGTTCTTTTTTTTTTTTTTTTACATTGGGGAGTTCTAATCATAAACTAATGAGAAATGCCTTATATAATTTCAGATTCTAATTTTTCTAATGTGCAAAGAAGTATAAAAATCTTTTTCTAGGAAAGAAATATAGTATATAATTATGTAAAATTAATGAATAAGTAATGTGAATTTTATTCTTCACGCGATTTTAAAAAAAATAATTTCCGACATGTTATGAAGTTATTTAATTTTTACTCCTTGTCTGTTGGTTGTAATAATTTTTTTTAGTTGATTGTCATATTCTTATCATGCACCAAAATTACTGATAAGAGTTTGAAGTAATATAAATTATGTTCTTTATTTATGATGAATTTGTTATCCCTAACTGATCTTACATGAAAGATAAAATATTCTGAAGTTAGATCATTTTTATGCTTAGTGATTGTGATTATAATTACTTTTTTTTATATTGGTGGGTTCTAATCATAAACTAATAAGAAATGCCTCAAGTAATAATTTTAGGTGTAATTTTTTTAACTTTAAGAAATGAATAAAAAGTGATAAATTTTATTTATGATGAATTTGTTATCCATAACTGATTTTACATGAAGGATAAAATATTCTGAAATAAAATAATTTTTATTCTTTGTAATAATTGTAAAATTTTTAAATCTTATTTGTAAGTTCTACTCATAAATTAATGAGAATTGTGAAGTAATATTAATTTTATCTGTTTTGTTATTTTTTAAAATCAAATTAAATTGATAAAATTAATATTCAATGAATTGTGCAAAGTATACAAAATCTATATTAAAGAAATATTAAAGTAGCATATTATAATGTAATGTTAATTTATTCTTTAAAATGTTTGCTAAATTATGTAAAGACATAAATAATATCAGGGTTCTTGCTGTCCTAAAATGTCCTAAAAAAGTGCTAAAATTTTTCCCCAACTTTTTTAGGGCCTAAAAAGTGCTAAAATTTCTGAGTGCTAAAAAAGTGCTAAATATTTTGTTTAGTGATCTGATTCCTTAAATCGGTTTCCCTAAATCGTTAAATTCTGTTGCCTTCAGCTCTCCTGCTGCCTCCATCTTTTAAGAAGATTCTTGGGCTTTGGGGAAAGAAGTTCTTTCTTCTGAGATTTTATGGGCTTTAAAAGTTATAGAAAGCTACTACTCCTACAATTCTTCCAAAGACACTGGAAAATTATTTAGTACAATGTTTCCAGACAGTTCATTAGCACGTCATTTCACCCGCAGTGAATCTAAGTGTGCATATCTCTGTCATTTTGGACTTGCACCTCATTTTAGCATGCTACTTCTGAAGTGCATTGATAATGCCAAGTTTTATACATTGCTTTTTGATGAGTCTTTGAACAAAGCGACACAGCAGAAGCAGTTGGATATACATATCCACTTTTGGAACCCAGTAAAGAACATTGTAGAGACGCGATACTTAACATCAGCTTTTCTGGGCCATTCTGTAGCAGATGACCTTTTAGCCTGCTTTTATGCATCAGTCAAAAATGTAGACCTTAAGAAATTATTGCAGATTTCTATGGACGGTCCTGCTGTCAATTGGAAGTTTTATAATAATATTCAAGAAGATTTGTTAAAAGAACATGGTGTTCAATGCAATGCAATAGGAAGTTGTGGGCTTCATATTTTAAATAACGCATTCTACAAAGGTGAATCTGAAACAGAATGGCTCATTGGTTCCATCCTGAGCTCAATCTTCTATCTTTTTAAAGATTCACCCACAAGAAAAGAAGATTTTATTAATCAATCAACTGAGAACAAATTACCACTAAAATTTTGTAACCACCGTTGGCTGGAAAATGCACCTGCAGCTGAAAGAGCAATATTGCTTTGGAATGATCTGAAATCTTATGTGAAAAATGTTGGCAAGTTTAGAAAAGTGAAATGTAAATCCTTTTTAACTTTACAAGAAGCAATAAAAGACAAATTAATTCTTGTTAAGCTGAACTTTTTCTTAAATGTGTCGGAGCTAGTTTCACCATTTTTGAAACTGTATCAAGCAGATCGGCCACTTTTACCATTTTTTGCTGCAGATATCCAGGATTTGGTATTACATAGTGTGCAATTATATAACATTCTGAAGCCAGAATCTATAGAAAACTTAAATTCTCTGGAGAAACTGTGCCATTTTAATTTTTGTGATGAAAAGAATTATGTCTCTCTGACAAAAATCAGTGTAGGTTTTAAAGGTGACCAAATTTTAAAGCAGTTGGCCTCAAAAGTTATTTCTGACCGGGATCATATTAATATAAAGAAAGATTGCAGAAAGTTTATCACCAAAATGTTAGAAACTTTACTAGAGAAATGTCCAATAAACTATTCTGTTGTTAGAAATGTTGCTTGCATCAATCCAAAATTAATGTCAGAAAACAAAAGCAAGTGTGTTCTAAAAATGAGAAACATATTAAATTACTTAAGTCAAAAATAGAAAATTGAGGAAAAAGATTGTGACAAAATTAAGCTGCAATTTGCATCATATATAGATTAATTATGTAATTTTTACTTCATGAATCATGAAACACTTTATTTGTATATTTTTAATATCATGTATAGATTAAGTATGTTATTTTTACTTTACATCAAGTGCTAATTTTTTTTTCTTAGTCCTAAAAAAGTGCTAAAAAAGTTCTATTTTTTTTTTAAAATAATTGAGCAAGAACCCTGAATATACTATATATATATTTTTTCTTTTATATGTAACGTTTTTAGCCTATTTATTTGTTATTGACGACAAATATAAATATTGAAATTTAAAATAAATCCTAAATTGTGTTAATAGGGTAAAAAAAAATTTATATAAATTAAAGAAAATAATTTATTGTATGTTTTGTATGAGAAAAAAATTAGAAAGTAGCATGCAAAGAATAATGAAGCTTTTTGCAAAAAAGAAAAAGTATGTGTTTGTTAATTCTAGTCCTGGGGACTGAAATCAGTTATGAAAAGAAAGATCAGTGAACTGAATTGTGTCCTCTAATATTTATTTCCAGATTGTTTTCTAAATTAGGATTTTAAATTAAAAAAACTTTTCTTATAATAAAGTAGTAAAGAATGTAATTCATAGATTAAGGACAAGAAATGAAACGAAATAAATGTTTTTTTTTTTTTTAAATAGTCAAGCTCTTGATATCATTGCAATTACAATGTATTTAGATCTTTAAAATTATTTCGTGAATGCTTGTTTAAAGCCTTTTTTATTGCACATGTTAGAGCCTGTCGTTTAGTTTTTCAGACTTCAGGTGTCGTTAATATGCTATAAGAATGTTAGTTTATTTACAGTTGAAGTGTTTTATTCTTGTTATCCTAAGAATAACATTTTAGAATTCTTTTATTTCTTCTGAAACAACTTTTTTTAAATTCAGTGCGTCCTTAATTATATTAAAAATCATATGAACGATCAGCTGTGAAATCGTTGGTTGCTTACAAAACAAATGCTTTAATGAAATTTTGAAACAGAGAATTAAAGAGTTATTTGCATTTTTTTTTCTTTTTCAAAAAAAGTTTAAATTTGTCTATTTTTGCGAGTTTGTCATTTAGGCTTTAGATTGCAAGTTTAGGTTCAGCATATTTGTATGCTAACAAATTTAGTTTTTATTCTGAATTTTTTTTTTTTTTAAATTTATGAGAAAAAATATTTCCATATGATGAATTATCTCTTGTACGTACTGAAATTGTGTGAATGACTTAGTATTCTGAACCCATATTTAATGTTTTGTTAAGGATTTTTTTTCCCCCTTGTTTAAAAAAGGGGTGATGTAAAAAGAATCTTAGTTTGTTCTTTGGAATAAAAGAGATGCATGTTCTATACACCTTTCATTAAATTTCTTAGGTTATATAATGAATAATCATAGGGATTAATGTACCACATTTAAGCATTTGTTATATTTACTCTATGTGAGTCGCATGGTTTTAACTTTTTATGTATATGGTGTAAAGTAGTATGTTCCATCTGTGTCACCACATGGGTTTAAAAAACAAAATTCCTTTCAAATTCAAAATTGTTCAAAGTATTTATTTATTATTAAAATTCAATTTGCAACTAAGCTTTTTAAAAATAGTGTTTTGAAGTGTAGCACAGGTTAAGAACTTTATATCCCTCTTGGATTTAAAGTGTCAAACTGCTGCTATATAAATTTTGAAGTGTAGTATATTTAGTAAATTGTACTATATTAGAAAATTTACCTCACCTTTATTTCAAACATGAAATGTTCTTTGCTTTCTATTAGTGTTCCACTTTCTTTTTCATACTCATGAGCTCATAACTTTCTCTGCTTTCAAAAAAGTTTCAGTAAATAAATATAGTAAGCAAAATTTCACGAATTTTAATTTTCAACAAGCTGAAGGAAACTCTTCTTGGTCATAAAAAAATTAATAACTCAAATGCACATTTTCTTCTGCTTGTATTATTAATCTAGATATTGGCTCTATTTGAAAAATTCAAATTTTTTAATTGATCAATGAATACAAACGATTTGAAATCTACATTCCCCATTTGGTTAAAAATGTACAGACTTTTTGACTAAAACTTGTAATTTATATTTAATTCTTTTTTGCACCACTTTTCATCATAAAACTTGTCTAAATATTGTAAAAGTGAATAATTCTATTTTCTGAATTATTTGTATTGAGATTCTTAATTTTCTTATAGACTTTCCATTATTTACTAAAATGAAAATTTTACCTTTCTTCTATTGATCGTAAACCATTTATTTGTGTTCTAATTTTTTTTTTTTAATTAATAGAAACTTAACAAGCTAGAAGAAGAGGAGGGCTTAAGAGAGTCAGCTGGCTATTATGATGAAAGTGAAAGTGATGATGATGAAAATACAAGAAATATTAGAGCTTTAGCCAAAAGGTATTTATTTTAATAGCATTGCATTAAATTCTGAATATTGTATTTTGTAAATTTTTTTTTATTTATTTGAAATTTATTTCTTTATTAGGATTCGTGAGAAAAAAGGCATTCTTAAAATTGAATCTCAGTTGAAAAGGAGTATTACTAAGCCAAAATTACCGAGAACAGCTAAAAAAGTTAGTATAAGACAGCTTTTGGCAAGAACTTTATTTTCTAAATGTAACAAGGCTGAATCCTTTAATCCTATGATTAATTTTTTTTTTCCTTTTATTCACAGCGGACACGTAGTGTCAGCAGGCTGAAGATGGAAATGAGGCAATTAGGAGTTGAATTAGGGGACAAAAAAGTAAGAAATGCTTCTTAAAAAAAAGTTTTTTTCCAGTTCTTTATTAATCTATATATTTTTAAATTTGAGAATTTGTTACTGGAGTCTATATATATGAATCTTGAAGGAGATAATGAGTGATTTAAATCAGGGCTCGAAAAACCACCCGCGGCGGTCAAAAATTCTTCGCGGTCAACAAATTTCTTGAATCCGACGTCTGCGCGGACGGCCATTTCCCGTCTTGACCTTTGTCATTTAAATTATTTCATAAAAGAAATACTAGGTTACTATTAGTAACCTTTGTATTTCTTTTATTACTGTGTAATGTAATCCTAGTATTTGTAATCCTAGTAACTACTAATTAATTGTGCAATTTATATAAATGTTTGTAATAAGTAAGACAAAATTATATTTTTATTAATTTAGAAGCTACAGGTTAGTTTCAAAGGAGGACGGGTGCATTGTTGGACAAGCCGTCCTCGGGGACGGGTAAAATTTCTGAGGTTTTTCGAGCCCTGATTTAAATCAGTGTGACTTGCACAAATACTGAAGCATAGCAAATAACGCGTGAGAAAGAAATCAATATCAACTCTATTGAGAGATACAAATCTAATTTACATTAACTTCTATTTAGCAAACGTTAAGTTGATGAAGTTAATTTGATGAGCAAGTAAGATATCAATTGTCAAAATTCTGTTTTATATTTCTGCATGAAAATTTAACTAAGTATACAATGATAACATATTCTGATTAAATACATATGTGCAGAAATTGAATCGATATATTATAATTTCTCAGAATCAGTAGATCAATTTTGGAAGTATGTGGAAATATCTCAAATTTACAATCAGCCAGTTTAAAAGTATCTTATAGTACATTAAAAGTAGTTTATAGCATTCCCTTATTATTCTACTACTTCTATGATCATTCGTTTGTGATTCATTCGGTTGCTTGCATGTTGATGTTGCTTGTACTGAAGCTATAGTTGTAAAAATGAGTGGGGAGTGGGAAGTCTCTTTGTTTGAAAACTAAACCAAATGTACTTATTGATTTAAAATGACCTTAAATGCCTGGATAGATATTTAAATTGTTTACTTTATTTGCTTTTGCGATTTTTTTTAAACATCCTAAATGCATTTTGCTAATTTATCAGTTGATATATATTTCAATTATACAAAATAGTTTTAACTACCCATCAATTTCGTCTTGGTTCAACTGTGTGTAAAAAAAAAATAACCTTTACAAATTTACCTTACTGTAATTTTCATCATATTGATCTATGCCTATAAAGTTTGTATGAAGAGACTTAATATATATTTTGTTTCCTTTTTAAACTTAGGCTCATTTTGATGATGCTCAAGTGGGTAGAGTGGTGAGATCAGTCAAGCGAAAGAGAGAAGATAGCGAAGGAAGGGTGCGCAGTAGCTCCAGAATACCTAGAGACGAATCTGGTGTTAGAGATGTCAAGGTATTCCTCTTTTTGATTCAATATCATTTGCCAATGTTCATTCAACAAGACATTTGTTTTGCATTTAAAATATTTATCTTTGCATGACTTCTCAGATTTATATTTCTGCATGCATATATTTTTACTGGAGTTTGCAAGTTTCTCCTGGTTTTACATAGTGGCGCGAACCTCATTTATAGAAGTTAGTTTAAAAAAAAAATTTTTTTTTGTTCTAAAACATTCCATTTGTTTTTATTTAGACTATTTTTTTTAAATTAATTAAAAGAATCTCAACTCTGATGAATTAAATACTGTAATATTCAAAATTATGAGTAAACATAATACATAACATTTCAAGTATGTTTAATGTCAATCGTAACTGGAAAATATTAGTTTTTCTATTTTGATTACTATAAAAATCCCTAACATTCCCAATGTGTAAAATATTTAGTACATTATGCAACAATTATCATGAAATTTATATTCTTTCGTAAAATCTACTGGATTTTTTCCTATCCATGTTTCCAATTGTTTGTCATTTATTAAAACTTATTCTAAACCAGCATATATAATGTTCCTAATTACTCGGAGATACCTTAATTTTTCTTTTATTTGTATCTGCTGCACTTAATTAAATTGTAACTTTTTCCTTTTAGATGAAGAAGAGGGCTAGAACACTTTCAAAACTGTCTCAACGTGCTAGTAATAGATTAGCAAAGAAGGGTGAAGGTGACAGAAAGATATTGGACTTAAAACCAAAACATTTGTTTGTAGGAAAACGTACCCTCGGCAAAACATCTCGTCGATAAATAGAGCACCTATAGTATTTGTTAAAAAATTATAAATGCATTTTATGTTTGTAAATTGTTATTAAATATGTACTCACCTTTTCTTTTGTGTTTTCATGTTTTACATTACTTCACTCGTCATTAAACCATACCATAAGGCTATACCAAAGATAGGATCGTTAGGGTAAGGCATTATCATGGACACAGCAACCTGGGGTAGGCCTTGGCCTTTTCTATGAGCATTTTTGCATATGGTTTTCTTTGTTACCAGAACTTTACAGTTCAATATCCTAATTGTTTTAAAACATAAAAAGTATCTTACTATTTTTTGTCTGCATATAGATTTTTTTTTTTAAATTGTGTTTCCTGGAAAAGGAAAACTGACTTATACAGGGTTGCCACTCTACATGGAGAACAGGGAAAACCTGGAAAATACAGGGAATTTAGAAATCACCTAAAATAACAGGGAAAATGCAGGGAATTTTGATTTTTTCCTTGCAAACTGGGAAAATACAGGGAATTTTGTTTCTTATTTTTGTCTTTCAAAATATGGTACCCACTCAAAGCGTAATCTATGGGATATTTAGCCATGATATTTTGGCTATACTAAACTATTTCACTTACTATAACATTATTTAAATATGTTCAGCTGTTTTCCCACCAATTAAAACTAATAAATATAGTTAGCCCTATATAGCTCACAAAAGAGCACAGTAATTGTTGTTTCCTTTTAATATATTGTGTATAATAGTTCAGAGAAAACACAGGGAATTTTTTTCTCCAGATTTGAGTGGCAACCCTGTTATATTTTCCTTTAACTGAAACTTATTCCAAGGTTTTAGCTTAGAATCTTCATAAAGTCATTAGTTTATTATTATTATTTTTTTTTATTCTAAGTTTTGCAGCTTTGATAATATAAGACTTTTTTTTTGTAATAATTTTTATATGTTAAGAACTAAGTAGTATCTGTGAAATGTATCAAAAAGGCTTCTTAAACAATCAGATCAAAGTAAATATCTATATATTTATTATTATTTTTAAAAGACAGAATTCAAGACAAATTTTCCGTTATTCAGTATCTGCAATTTCCAAGTCTGATTATAGAAAGAATTTCTTTTCTTCTAATTGCATTGGACTCTGGTAAGATTTTTTAATAAGTTACAAAATGCTTAATTTTCCTATATTAAAATTTTTCTTCATGTTGATTTTCGTTACGAATTATGCAAAAAGCGTGGTTTTTCCTATTTGTTAGTTCAAAAACGCTTTAAGCCTATTTATTTCAGGAGTGTATATTACAAAGAATCACAAGGTTAATTTTTAGGCTACTGTTCTAATAATTTAGACTTCAAGATTTGTTATTGCCCATAGTTAGAGAGTCAGAAGTAAAAATAATATGAACTAATCCATTTGTAACACTTAAGTAGAGTGAGCAACTTGAAAAAAAATTCACTCTAATAATCGGATTTTTAACGTCAATCTTAATGGTTTCTTGGGGTGACTTCAAATATGATAATTATTTAGTGCAACCTATTAAGTTGCGAAATCTGACACGAAAAAGCACTTTTTTCTGAATAAACATATATATTTAGATTCCTGACCCTCAAAATAGACAAAATTTTGTGAAAAAAATTGGATCAAAATTTAGGAAGTTTTGCGTCGTTTAAAAAAAATTGTCACAAATTATCGCCATAGCTGGAATAGAAATTTAATCTAACCATATTCTAGCCGCTTAATCAATAAGAGAAATGCTCCTTTACTAAGCAACCAAACTGAGAGAATTAAAAAGAATGAAATAATAGAAGCTATATTCTACGTTCCCGAGCCATTTTAATCATAGAAAAAGATTTTGAAGTTTCTAGGCAACTGATTTATTTTTAATTGATTACTGCGCAAAAAGCAAAAATTGCTTTCGTTTTTTGCTCCTTTAAAAATAAAATTTTAAATTATTTATAATTTTCCAAGATTTTAGTATTTGAACGTATGATCTTTTTATAAGGCATTATTTGTATATAAGTTTTTAACATCTTTGAATATGAAGATTTAATGCTAATACTAAATTTGCATTATTTTAAATATATACTACTTGGTTTTAGGACAAATAGCGAAAAAGATGCTTTAAAAATTAAAATACCTAAGAAATTATAATGTACATTCACAAGTTTTTATATTATTTTTTTATATTTAAGGCAATATTTTTTTATATATATAATTGGAGAAATTAGTGAATGTTGCGTGACATTTTTAAAATTAAGTTTGGGTAAAAGGGTATAATTTTTTTTTCGAATTGTTTAATTAGTTTTAAAAATATAACTTAAACGCAAAAAGTTAAAATAACAAGGGGTTCGAGCTTTGGATCGCTCTCCTGTTCAAACTATGGGGTCTATATTTCCCTGATTGTGACTACGCTCTATATTTTGAAGGTTAAGAATCAAATATAAAGAAAAAAAGTTACATACGTTTATTCAGAAAAAGTACGTTTTTGTGTCCGATTTCGTTATTTAATTGTTAGCACCACATAGCATAATTTACGTGAAAATCCGATCATAAGAAAGAGAGTTATTGAGGATGATATCTTTTTTATTTTTGTTCACTGCACATAAATTAATTGACATACTATAGTTTCAGTTCTATAAACAAGAACCTTCCTAAGTACATTTCCTTTAGAAGTACTCTTGGAAGTATTGACACTGATTCTTAATATGCGAAAATCCAAGCATATAAAATATAGTTAAAAAACTTGTTTTTTCCCCTTCAAGTTCACTGTTTAAGAATAACCATGAAAATGTTTAAAGATAACGCAGATAAATATATAGCGATGAATTGTTCCAAATGTTAGCAGCATAGTATCATACAGATTTTTCTTTTTAAAACATGCTACTTCTCGAGTATTCAAAAACATAATTTCCTAACTGATATATATTATATGGTGATAATTATTAATTTTCATTTGAGAGTAAAACAATTTTTTTAAAGTTAGATGAATATATTTAATCAAAAATAAACTTGTAAGAGAAATAGTTTAATAAATGAATTTCATACTGTATTAGACATATCTCATGATATTGTGGATGTCTCAATAACTGCATTTCGCTAATTTATGCTATCATATTTCTCTATATGTGTTAAGACAAAATATTAAATGACTTAATTTAGGAACTCAGAAACGTAATATTGGTATTTTATCTCATGGTATTAAAATTTAGGACAATTCACTACATTAATTAACTACTCATTTATACATATATTCTTTACGATGGTTGATTACTCGCCTGTGAGATGCTTCTCTGCCTAGTATGATATTCCCCCTTTTTGTGATTGCATAATTTATGTGTATATATTGATAAGATTTAAAAATAATATGTGACACCAAAAAAACTTTTTTTTTTTTTAAAAGTCATTTCTCCAAAATAAATTAATATAATTAATATAATATAATATAATTAATATAATATAATATAATTAATAAGCGTTTCTTTATCGAAATATTAATGTCCCCTAGAACTAAATTGCAATTATAAATTCTTCCGAAACAGCATCGAAGGTTTTAAAATTAGTGTTTCACTCTGCTCAAAAATGTCAATTCAATCTCGACACGTCTTTTGCATACCTTCTTCAATGGGCATACATAAATGAGGAGAAATAAAAGTTTCTAATTTAAAAAGGAAAGGAGAAAATTCGCCTCGCAATTATCACTTGTACATTTATACTTTCCACGAATGTCTACTACGAAATATAAAATCTTTATTAAAAAAAAAAAAAAAATCAACAACGATTAAAATATTTCGAATACATTTATAGAAGAACAATAAAGCGATTAATGACAATCGTATGATCACATTCTAAGCCAAAGGTCAACATTATAAAGAAAACAAAGTTATCAATGTAGTAAAAGTAATTTTGAATTAGTATATTCAATACTCAACCTGAAACAGGACGAGGTGGCCGAGTGGTTAAGGCGATGGACTGCTAATCCATTGGGCTCTGCCCGCGTGGGTTCGAATCCCATCCTCGTCGAAAGAGATAATTATTTTGCTTAGAGTTTGAATTAGAAGTTGATGACAATTCTGTATGTTTGATTCGTCTTCTTAAAAAAAAAAATTTTTTTTTAAATATTTTAGATTGAGGACGTTTGAAAGTTAGTAAAAATTATTAATTTTAGAACAGACGACTACCCTTCCCCCATATGTTTTTATATGGTTAAAGAAAATATATTAATTTTATATAAAAGCGATTTATCGAATTAATAAATTAGAATAGAATAAGCTAAAATTTTTACCTAAAAGGAAATCAGACGGAAAGCAAAGTTTTCCGAAATCTTCCTATTAAAATCAGTTAAAAGTATGTAATAATAATGAAGGAATTCGAGCACAGGAATAATTATTTTGAATTTCAATAATAAATATTTCATATGAAAGAAAAATCAAGGAATCAAATTTAAACTACATATTAAGAGTGTGTTTATGCTTTATCTCCCTTGAAATTAATATCTTCTAGAATTGCAAAATAGCAAAATTACTTCCAGTGCATATTTAATTTTAATTATTTTTTCAGAGGAATTAAAACTAATAATTAAAACATAAATTGTGATACTAGGCAGTCAGATCACAAGCACTTTATTCTTATCAAAATTTTTTACGTATTTAATTTAGCTTAATTTTTCCGCTGAAGAATATTCAAAGTAGCAATATATCATATTTCAATTCCTAGATGGCGCTAAAGAAGACGATGAACATCTCACATTTTGTTCCATTCCAATCAGCAAAAGCTCGGTGGCGCTATCTATTGAAACTTCTGCGAAATTAAAAAATCAGTTTCGGAACAATTGCTTATTATAAGTGAATTTATTTAAGCAAGGCTTGCAGTACCGTGTAAATATAAAATGAGCAAAATTTACTGACTTTTTTTATTAATAGAGCTATGAAATTCTTTTAAACGTTGATTAAATTAATAAGAACGAAATCATATTTATAGTATACATTAATATCAAATTGTAAATACCATGGAAAAAAATTGTCTATTTTTTTTTCTTTACTTCGTTTAAAACGAAATTGATAAAAATAAAAGTTGGTAGGTATCGAATGTTTTTTTAGCGTACTAAGGAAG